AATCCCTACTTCTCCAGTGCAAAATTAACTTTTCTAATCCTAGTTATGTTCTATCAAAACTTTTCTCTCTCTGCAGGTGAAGATCTACAATTGAGTGAATCTGGCAGTGACAGTGAATAACTATTTATTTCTGAAGGAACACAACTTTACACTGTTAAAAATGGTAGCTTCTCTGTTGAGAGAGTATCATTTTGGTTTGTATCTTAAACTGTTAATATATTTTTTCACTTAGCACTGCTAATAATCAGTTAGATTAAGAAATGTAACACTTTCTTTTAAAAAATATTATTGAAATGAGTAACTTTGCAGGTAGAGTAGGAAAGCTTTTCTTTCATCAATGCAAACATGTTTTTGTGTGTGTGTAATATACCTCCAACCATTGAATATGTAAATGTTGTTATCTATTACACAAGTGATTGTCTAATAATCTTGCAGTGATAATTTGTAACTATTTAACATTTATGTTGCTGTCAATATTGAAATAATGACAAACTCTCGATTTTGATAATTCATGTTAGTTGCAAGTGTGTTGCTATTTTGAACAAGTGACTTAGATGTAGACGGGGCAATAGGCTAATATCTTCCCTTAAGCTGAAACGAATGAATTTTGAGATTGAGGCTGTTAAAGTATCTCAGCATCTATCTTTTAACTTTGGCAAGTCCATTCAGGAAAGCAAAAATATTTGACTGAAGATAGTGTGGTGATGATGTTATGCATGACAATATACTCTTCAGCAAAAGTGTCAATTTCATCACGGCAGTAGACATGGTAGAATTACAGCAATATACTGGTTTGTTAATTGTTGTCTTCCAATGTAAAAGATATACTACTGCCATGGATAGGTGGGTTACTGATGAGATACATGGTTGATTTGGGTAGGGGACATGTGGGATATTTAGCAACCACTTCCCCCTCATGCAGAAAACTGCAGTACTTGCTAGCAGACAGGTTTTTTCCCACTATATGGTGTAGAATGTCATTGATATTGCACAATAATTTTATTGCTCATGAATGAAACATGACCTTAGAAATTCCATTATGGGAGACATCAGTTGGCCATCCAGTTATCAAGGTTTAAAATTAGGATCCTCCATGTTTTTTTTTTTTTTTTTAACCAAGTATCTGGCAGGTAATTTTGAAAGTGGTCTGTACAGCATACAACCTGTATCACAATGACTGGTGCAAGCAATCTTGTAGGTTTACTCTTTGTTGTTGAGACAGCCAGATCATATCAATCAGCATTTGACAATGGAATTGACCAATCCAAAGAAGCTAGTTAACTGCTTTTCATCTTTTGTAGCCTGTATTTGCAATGACGGCTTCAGCCTTTTCACATGTAACTTAAAATGGTTTCTCTGATACTTAAATTGAATTTATAATTTGTCTTGGCCCTTTGAAGGAACTTATTAAACACTGAGTAATAGTTACAATCATTTTTGAATCTAGACATTTGTGTCATTAGAGGTGGAGAGAATACTTTAGATTCTTTTGAAATTCTCCAAAATGGTTCACTGAAATTCATCTTCAGCATTCTTTACTCCCACTGGAAATCTGTTTTATATATCTGCTGAATAATCTACCAACAGGCTGACTTAAGAAGTCATCAATGATAATGGACAATTTGTATCTTGTAATTTTGAAATAACATTCTTAAATGTATGAATAATGAACTGGGATTGTAATATGACATCGTTCATGTTTCTGAGGTTGAGGTATAAGCTAACTGATCTATTGTGCTTGCTGAGCACATATGAATGAATTGAACTATATGGTTTGCTTTGGCACCAAGCTAGCTCTGCCTTGAACTGGGAGTATAGTCAGAGCAGATCTAGATTTCCAATATGCACACCGAGCAGATATTCCATGTCATCCAAACATTGCAGAAACTCAGGGAATACCCCTCTTGGTGCTCAAATAGAATCTTCTATGTCAGTCATAAGTAATAAGTTTTCTGGAGTTTCTGTAGCTCTCCACTGGGTAGCATCCTGTGTGATGTGGGGGTAGGGAAGGTTGTAACCCAACCAGAATTTCATCTTAATATGAAAGGTCACACTTTTCCTGAAAAACCTGCACTTGTTTAAATAATTTCTTTCACATTGACTTTGCAAATTATGAACCACTTCTACTTTGCAAAAACTGAGAAAATCATTTTGAGCTTATGTTCTCTTTGACTTTTGAATACTTTTGTGTCAATTTGAAGTAGGACCCAAAAATAAACAAATTTTATTTTTCTATTCATGGTGTATTTTTTGCATGGTTTCATGATCTGATATTTTTAAAGGTATGGGTAGTACTCTTGGTGGTGTGGAAAAAGTTTATACCTGGATAACCAAAAATTTGATGTTTGTCTCATTCCTTTCAGTGATATCATAAAGTGGACCCTCAAAATGGCAATGGCAAAAACCAATTTTTTTTTTTTTTTTTTTTTTTTAAGACTAGGAGTTGCAGTTGAAGAATCATTAAACATTATGAAAATCTCAACAAATACTATTTCTCTTTTTCATGTCTGTTGTACTTGTATCTTGTCTTTAATGTTAAAATAATGCCAAACTAGCACTTTAGTTTGTGTCATTCAAAATGACAGCATCTTTGTAATTAATTGATCAAGATTTAGACTATGGAGTATTCCGTGACTATGAGAACAAAAGGAGCCAATATTTACACTTGTAAATGAATGTGTGTGTTTTCTAATAAATAGAACATTGTGAGAGAGAACAAGGGGTTAACTTAAAAACAAACTTTGTGTGTATGTGCAATATGATATTTTATATGTATTAGGCAGAATCAATTCCAGGCCAAACACAGATATTTAAAAATGTACTCGATACACTGTGACACCCACAGCCGTTGGGCCGTGGTCAACTTCTAGTCGCGGTGCGAAACTGTAATGTTTCTTCTATTGGCGTTTTTTGTCGCCGCCACCAGCCTGTGTCCCAGTCGATTGGTGGTCGTCGCTATTTGGCAAAACCCCCTGGTCAGGATACCAATATGGGACACTGGCCCATCTGTAGTGTAGGCTGAGTTTGGACAGAAGGTGTTATAGCAGAAGCGCTAAAGGAAAAAAAAATAAATAAAAGAAAAACCCAAGAGGTTCAAGTATGTTAAGAAATAACAAATTAACTTTATCCTTCTATTATATACAGGAGTGTGTTTTTCTACGAAATGTGACACTTCTCCGTTTCAAGCAAGTTGGTATCTTAAATCAACTGATTTAGTTCTTAGGTGTTGGCTTGGCTTCGTTCGTCAGTAAAATTACTATTGGTAGGATAGGCGAAGTTGGAGGTCATGGAATCTCTCGGTCAACTTCTGTGAGGCAACACTCTGGTTAAGATCTGACTCTAACTCCAAAACCAGCTCAACTGCAACTTGGAACTCTCTGAACGACCAAAACTCGGTGTGGGGCCAGATGCGACCTGTGGTTCTCGGTAAATCTCGATTTCTAACAAGAAATCTCTTTGTTGTCAGGCCAGGAAATTTGATTACTTCCCATTTTTGGAAAATTAATCACTTTCTATTTCAAGGGGTCTCCGTCGTCTGTGAGGGAAGGTTGGAGGAGAACTATTCTCCTAGACTCTTTCTCTCTCACATTGATATCTCATACCAATCCCTTCAGTGGGCGTTAATAACTTCTCTGTCTTTCTCATCCATTCACCTCTGCCTATCATCATTACTACCACTCGACCGTGTGGGTGTGGCCAAGCTGGCCTCCTTAAAATTATAATCTAGAATTTTTGTTTACAAAATTCTCCTTTTCCCCATCGGCCAAAATTTCTACGAATTCCATACTGCCAATTAAAATTCTATATCTTTTTGACCACCCAGAATCCACTTAGCCAGCACTCTCTACTGACTCCATCAATTACTGTCAAAGTTTTCCATCTGGTCCCTTCGTAAAGTTAGCTTTGGCTTGTTGAGAGATTAAATTCTTTATCTTGCCAAATCTCAATTCTCCACCTTATTTTCTGTCTCATGCCAAAATTTTACAAACACCATCTTGCTATTCAACTTTTCAGTGTCTGAAGTGACATGTTGATAAGGTAAATAATAACAATCCTCTCACCTATGTCGAGACAATGCCAAAATTTTATAATTGCCACATTGCTTTTCCTCGCCAGTGGCCAAGAAAAAAAATAAACGATATCTTGGAAAGATAATTAACATTGATTCTTCCTGCCTGTATTGGCGATCATCTCTAGCCGAAATTTTTATGACCGGTTCAATATTTTGCCTTTCTTTTTTATCCTATCTCCCGGCAAGACATTAATCAACCTTTGACAAAACCTCACATATGGCTTTTTTTGTAAGGTTTATTGTCTTTTGTGAAAAGTATCATCTTTTTTGCCTTAAGTATTTCCTGTTTTAATTTCTATGGTTAATTAGTTAGCCAATTACCATAGCTAAATAGTGTCACACACACTGTTCAGGATGAAATGTTTACCAAGATATCATCAGGTGCTGAAACAAATTTTATAGATTTACTGAAATTGACTTCCAAAATAATGCGTAATTGTTTAGACACAAAACCAAACACCTCATTACTTTTAAGAGCAATTAAATTATTGAAGTTATAAAAATGTTTTTATAAACAATTGTATAATCTGTGCTGTTAAGGATACACAACCATTGAGTGAAATTATGCTTTTGTAATGATGTTTTCTTTACAATAATTGTGTCAACTGAAATGCATCTTGTTATATATCTATCTTTTTTTTCTTTTTTTTTTTCAGACTCTTCAAAATAGATGTGATGAGGAATTTAAACTAAGTATTATATACTGTGTATATGTTGATTGCTACTCACATGAAGATGAGGGACTGGCCAAAGAAAAAATGGATTGAAGAAAAAAAAAAGCTCTTAAAATAAAAGTAATTTTAAAAACACTCTTTAAAATTTTTTCATTTTGAAAATTTACTTTTATCAAGACTTTCTCTGTTATATAAAATTATTACATTCTTGAAACATGTTAAATTTTTATAATCTTGAAGCATAATTTTATTCACTAAACTTTTGGAAAATTCTTATGGTTTCTTTTGTGCTTGAGAATTTCTGTATTGGTAAAAAGAAATTCCTTTTGGCATTCTGTACAGAAAAAAAATTGATGTTGGCTGGTGGAAATGATTTCTTTCTGCAAACTTCCTGCAACGATACAAAATAATTTAAACTTTACTTCTGCAAATATAAAAATATAAAATAAATTTCTAATCTGCTTTGTTGCAGAAATGTATATATTCATAGAGTTTCGTGGTTAAATATTAGCTGTTTAATGGAACTTGCAAAAAATAAAAATTCACCTTTTTTTTTTTTTTTTTCGGATGGACTCTTCCATTGAGCTACACATTTGAAGAAATAGGCAAGATGAACTTTTTGCTACTCTTGTCAAAAGCTAACATGGTCCTTTTAATCTCAATTTTATAAGAAATGGTTCAGTTTTTCATTAAAAGTGATAGATTGAAACAGTTTACTAAAAGGAAAAGAGAAACTTGCTATAAAATTCACTGTCAAGCTTAAAACACCTGAGAAAGTCTAATGGCCAAATTGGTATTTTTTAAGAAAAAGTTCTGATATCCTCAGTGCTGTCTTTTCTGACAAATAACAGCAGGGAATTTAATAAGCAGTCCGTTAATGATATGACACAAACTTGAATATTGTTGAATGTGTGTACCACTACTCAAAGAACACAAGGATATTAGAAAAACAACAAGTACATAATCTTGGGACACTTTGGAACCCAAAGATATATGAGAACCTAGAGATGTATGTACCAAACCTCATGACATGAAAAGAAAACAAAGACTTAGAGAAGGACATGAAGAAACTAAAGTAAGCTCTGAAAAAATATGAGGGGTAAATCTAGAAAAACTAAGAGTGGAATTAATTATATGAGACAGAACTTCACTATGGAGAAGTTGATAAGGTTGTTTATATCCTCTTTTTCACAAGAGGAAATAAACATTGCCATTGATAAGAAGCAGACTCATGAAAAAAAAAAAAATATGAAGGCATTTTTTTTTTTTTTTAACCTTCCATAGCTGATGCTAGTCTTCAGGAGAGTGACTCATTGTAGCTTAGACTAATGTTTTCAGTTGACATGAAGTGGAAATAGTATATTGAATCCATTGCTAGGTCTGAAAGTTGTTTCACTCACCATATGTCCTGCTAGACAATTTTTCTTGCCAGAATCTATCTTACATATTTATAATCTACCATTCATCCTTTGACTATTGCTGCCACATCTGGTCAGGTGCCCTGGCTATCTTGATAAAATTTAAAGAATCTGCAGTGTTATTAGTCCTGATCTAGCATCTCGGTTTCAGATCCTTTTCCACTGCCGTAACATAGCTTCCCTGTGCCTTTTCTATAAATTATTTAATGGTAATTGTTCTGAAGAATCTAGGCTTTATGAATTTATGCAAAAGCAGATTGGCAGCAAGGATTCATCGTTTTACAGTTGAAATGGCTAGATGCAACCCATAAGTTCTACGCTAACAGTTTCTTCTATTGCATTTCTTGCTTGTGGAACTCTTTTCCAGCTTCTCTGACATCTTTGATCTTCAAAAATTTAACTGCAATATCAATCATTATCTTCTTAATTCTTTTATTGCCCTCTCTCCTTAATAGTTTCTCTCGTATTCTCTAACATACCTTGTGTTCTAGTGGCTTTATTGCCTTGCTTGGGGAGAAATGACTTTAAAAAAACAAAAAGAAAAGCAAGCAAAGTTGTTCAGTGGAATAAATGAGACTGAGAAGCTTTTATCACATTCAACTTTCTGCCAATAGAATGTGTCCAATTCCTCGTATTAAGTTCTTTGCTATTTCAACAATTTGAATGCTAAAAAGTGTGTTAACCTTGGCAGCAACCAAATTACACCCCCCTCTGAAGTTTATTTTTTAGACTCCTACATTTTCACTAAATATCACTTATTTTTTGTAATGTAAACTTAAAATTTTGCTTTTCTCTTATAGCATGAGGAAGAAAGATGTTGCCATATACTAGTGGCCGTTTTCTTTATTTGAATCACTTTGCCAGGATTTGTACTGATCAGGTGGCTTAAATACATAGAAATCATTTTTTTTTCTTTTACAATGTACATCTATGGATTGCTACAAAGTTAAAACTGAATTTAAAGTTCTACAAATGTTCACAAACATGTAAACACTTTTCTAATCATAGGTACAAAAATTCAAATGTTATATAATATCCTTCAGCAAACTGTTTCACTAAGGCAGTCTGTTTTGTAAATACCTTTTTATACTACAAAGGAATCAATTATATAAAGATGAATTATCTTCCTTCATTTGTCATGTAGATTATAGTTTTCTTCAACTGAATCAGTGTAATATTTAATATATTTCTTGCATAATTATTTGATTATTATTATTTATATGTATTAATTTTAATTTTACAATTTAAAACATTTAATGATAGAATTTGATGAAAATTTTCATTATTAATTAAAACTACCTGATTCTTGTGATGTGATCTCACAGGTTGCTTCATGCTGCAGTTTTTTCAAAAAACTGTCTAAAAAACTTGTGTCACAGTGTTGTTGTATTGAACTTGTGTTCTGCTTCTGTATACTTGTATTATTCTGTAAACTGGATGGAAAAAAAGTTCATCAACACAATATAAAAGCCAACATTTAAAAAAAACCAAAAAAACAATACTTCCTCACCACCTTAATTTGAGAATATTAAAACAGCATTTCTATGATCAGATTAAATAATTTATCTAGAAAGTAATATATATGTGTGTGTGTGTGTGTGAGAAATTTATCACAGGTTTTTGATTTAATCTTTATAGATATTAAAGTAGGTACCTCCAGTTTAAAATGAAAAATCTTTTTGAAGCTTTTATTTTAGTTTTAATTTCAAGCTAATAGATTAAATTTAATGTTTTCAATAAGCAAAATACTTTGATGTATTTCAAAAACTAATTTAAATTGGTTGAAAAGAGCTTTTTTCTTTTTTTGCTAAAATAGCTGATCCTCTAATAAAAATCTTCAAAAATAAAATATACATTTCTGAAACTTTGAGGAATTTTAGCTGATTTAAAGTATAATTAATCGATTATTTGAAACAAATATTTACTTTAAATTCAAAACTAAAATAAAATTCATTATTCATCAAAAAAAAAAAAAAAAAAATTTTTTTATCTTAAGACCTTAGTAAATCTTATTTCTAAAAACAATTGAAAGCTTTTCTAATTAAATAATGTCAGTTTCATTGCATTTTTTATTTTATGAATCTGAGCAGATTTTTGATAAACGGTGTTTGACAAAAACAAACTGATTTAAGTTCTCCAAGGAGTCCTGCTTTTAACTTAGATAAATACAAAGATCCCCAAAATTTCTTGACATTACATAAAAGTGTGTGTGTGTGGGGGGTCATGTAAGAAAGAAAAAAAATTTTATCAAGAAAAAATAATTTCAAAAAAAAATAATTTCATTCATTTGTGAATAAGTTCTGAAAATTTAAAATCCAACAATTATTTGAATTTTGCAAGAATTTCCAGAACAATGTATTTTTACCACAAAAAACCCCCAAAAAACCTAAATTTCTCATACTTATCTTTGGCCCACTCACTGATGCAAGAAAAACAGTTTTTTTTGTTTTTGTATTTTTTTTTTTTTTAACCAAAATTTTGAATGGGCAAGAAAGGATTAAAAAATTTAATAAAATAATCAAAAAATACTTTAGTCTTTTCTCTTAATAATAAACAATTTAATGATAAAACTTGGTCTTTATCAAGTTTGGGGCCCTTTCATAATGCTATAATCTTTTTTAGAAAATTTAGGGAGGTACCTATATTAAAGTATTTAATTTTTTTTCTTAATTTTCTCATTGACCAAATATAAATATTGAAACTATAAGAAAAGGTGATTATTTTGAAGAATAACATAAAAGTTGTTTTTTCTATTCATTCCCATTGTCTTCAAAAAAAAAAAAATTGAAAATTTGTTTTAATAACTGAAGTAAACAAAAGATAGGAGTGAAAAAAATCTACATATACAACAGAATTTACAGATTTCCTTTAAATAAATTAAATATTAAAAGTAATAAAATACATACTAAAGATTTTAGAAGAAAAATTACAAGAAAAAAGTTAATTTACCAATTGTAGATGAGATAGTCATTCACAATAATTCCTCCTTTGATAGGATGATGATTAATTTGGTTTGATTTGATCATTCTTTGAAACTCTGTATTTGGTTCTTTAAAAGAAAAATGCAAGTTCATAAAAATTCATTATTCTTTTCACAAGTTTTAAAGAAATAAGTTTTGGTGTTTTTTCAAATGATAATCTTTTAAGATACATTAAAAATGTAATCCAGATCTAAAACATTTATTCAGCTCATATTCTGCTAGCTTTTGTACATATTTAAGATTATACATAAACCACAATATGTCATGGAAGGAATAAATGACAATTTTGGAAAGTTTTACTTATTACTTTTTCTTATTTTATGCAAAATTAAAATAATAGTTTTGTTGAGTAGTAATAAGTGTCAGCAAAAACAAAAAAAACCCAGAGGTTTTGTAGGAATAAATTTAATAAATATAAAAATTACATTGTAACTTCATATATTTACTGATTATGCAACTTGATTTCTCCTACTTCATGAGATGTTTTGTGAATGTAAAAATGGTGACTCTTGGAGATTTTTTTTTGTGTTACCAGAAAAAAAAAAAAACATTGCTAATACACTGATTTTTATATTTTTACTTTTAATGAATTAAAAAGCAGAATAGTTACTGGTGAAACTTCGGTACAGTCAAATCTATTAAAGTTACCATATTTTGAAAGATAAGTTTCCAAGTAATTTAAGTTTTTTTTATTTTCTGTTTAGTAAGCAGGAAAAACTATTCTAGAAGTATAAAAAAGAAATGTAAATTTAATTTGTTTCCTCTTAAAGATTATAATAGGGAAAATGAGGTGTATATGGCTGGATTAATTACAGCCTTTAAATCTTAAAATATTACCATTATTTACCTTAGACAAATTTTATTTTTTAGATATTCGTCTAAGCAAGGAAAAATAATGGCATGACTGCTGTTTACAGAGCACACAGTACTGAAGGAAGACAATAACTTGAATAAAACATGACTAAATGAAATTGATAAATATGTACCATGTTAATAATTATGGTGGCAAAGAATGAATTCAAAGAAAACATAATAATTTAAATGAGACCTTTATTATATTCAACCTAATTACAATTAACAGTATATAGAGTGGGAACAATAGTCAGATTATGGTAATCCAATTGTTCAATAAAGCATAAGGTGTACTTGTCAAAATACTGTGATGAGATTGCATCATTAGTGTCACTTAGGCTTATTCCATTGAGTCACTTGTTTCATTCTCATCATGGTCTTCCTTCAGAAAACAGTCATCAAGCCAAAATAATTATTAAAATGAATTTTTTTTTTTTATAAAATCTAAGCTGAGACAATATTTAAATATTTTCAGGTAGAAATTTTTAAATTATTGTAAGTTCTTAGGTTAATTTTACCATTCACTTTCACCATTAAATTTTCAAGTCCAAAGATGTACTTGATATTATTATTGATCATTTAGCTTCGATGGGGGTGATGCTGTCTGGTCACATTTAATGCCTTGAAAACCAAACTAGTCATGTTCCATCATGACCAAGTGGACCCTGAATTTTCACCTCTCATAATGAACGTGTGTTCTCGGAGGCTTGAATGCATGTTGGGTCTTTCATTTGAGGTCTGGGTTGAGTGTAAATCATACATACAATCAATCGCTAAAGATATTAGGAAAATGGCTGGTTTACTGTACCATTACAAGAGCCAGATCAGGCTGAAAATGAAGTACTGCTGCCATGCATGGGCAGAATCTATCCAATCTTTACTTTCCAGCATCGATAGGATCCACAAGCATCTCTGCATCCTTGTGGATGATTAATTATTTCCCTCCATACAACCCCTTTCCCACAGATGAAATGTTGCAAACCTCTTGCTGCTCTATTGCTCTTTCCATGGAAAGTGTTCAGACAAACTACATTCCCCAGTTCAAACCTTTACTGTTAAGACTTGCCATGCCATTGTAGTAGACTACTTTCATATTCCACTGGTGAGATGCAAGTCCCACTTAAGCAGCTTCTTCCCATGAACTGCTGCTTTGTGGAACTAACTCCCAAGAGAATTTTTCCCCAATCACTACAATATTCTGTTCAAATCTAAGTTAAACCATTATCTTCCCCAGATATCTCCCATAAACTGTGCCTCTTACCCTGTAACCCTCTACCTCTTGGGCCTTGGTGAACATTTTTTTTTTTACAATGTTTGCTGCAAATATTATTCAGAATGAACGAGAAATTAAAAATAACTAAAACTGATTTGTCAGCAACACAAAAAAGTAAAGCTATACAAGTGCTTCTTAAAAAAAAAGTACATGGACAAATTTTTAAATTTAATGTTTAATGTAAAATAATGGAGCTTCAGTTTTCTTGAAATCTGTGAATTATTTGGAAAACAAATGTCTATAAATTATTTTATATCGTCACAGCAGCTAATCAAGCTTAATCTTAATCACTTAAGCCATTATATCAGTTATTGTGACTACAAGACAAAATTTTTTTGGTATTTAAATAAGTGAAAGGATGACTGATTTAGACATATAACAGCACATTCAGCTGTCTTCAATGTTAAAAGAATTTTTAAGAATTATGTGACTGACAATAAAACTTGACATCAATTTGCCATGTGTGTGTTGAGCTCTAAATTGTATTAAAGGAGTGTGTTCATATTTTTGCTGTTCTGTAGCAATTTACAAAGAAAGAGTTGTCCTTTCTAAAACTGACAGTATAGATACATATAATCATGTTAGATGGACAAAATCTGTCTATATTTCTGAGATGAGGTATTGTAATTATTTACATTGTTTGGACTGTTGTCCTCATCATTATTGCCATATTCACAATTGATTGACCTATGTTTTTTGTAAATAATGTGCATTTTTATACAGAATAAATATTGTATGAAAGTAGAAATTAACCCATTCCTCAAAAATACTTTTTATTAATGTGACACTATTTAGCTATGCTAATTGGCTAACTAATTAAGCGTGGAAATTAAAAGCAAGAAATACTTATGGCGAAAGACATACCGAGCGATGTTATTTTTTTTTAATAAAAGAAAAGTGGGTAAAGATTTTATTTTCATTTGCGAAGAAAAGTATTTTTTTTCGCAGAAGATAGAAAATTTGTAAGATCTCGGATCTGTCAGAATTAATTTATGCCATGACACAGCGAGGAAAGGCAGATAGCAATCTGCCCATTAACAATAATGAAAATTTCAAATTGGTCAAGAGGCTTACAAAGCAGAATGCTAAAAGATAATTGGAAATTGGGTCAAGCATGCGACCGAGAAAGAATTAGCTGAGACCACCCCAAAGAAAAAGGAAGGAAGAAGAGAAAAAGGAAAAGAATAAGCCATTAACTATCTTTCGGAGATATCATTTGGTTTTGGAAGGGAGCCACCTGTTGAATGTCCAGAACTTGCCATGATAAAAGTTTGTTACCTGGACAGACTGTTGGCGACAGAATGTGATGATGTGGAGGAAGACAAAGATTTAGTTGACTACCCAGATAATAACTTGGCGAAAATCCCATTGATGAATTCCAGATGACATCAAGTTAAGATAAATATTTAATGACCACAGTACGATTCGTGGGAGTTCTAGTCGGTGGAAAAGTAAAAAGGAAGATAATTTTTTTCTTTGAGCGATAATTGTAAGCTGAGGCCAGTCTAGCCACACCCCGCACTGCTGAGCGTTCATTGGCTGAGTGGTGGCATGAGCGATGGGCGAAGGTAAACATATGAGAAACAAGGGAAACCTGTTGACGCCCTCTGAGGGGACTGTTGTGAGATACCAATATGAGAAAGAAGGGAAACCTGTTGACGCCCTCTGATGGGATTGGTGTGAGATACCAATATGAGAAAGAAGGGAAACCTGTTGTCCTCTGAGGGGATTGGTGTGAGATACCAATATGAGAAATGAAGAATTTGGGAGGACAATTCCTTTAAGAACCCCTCTAAAACAGAAAGTAATTGACTTCCAAAAATGGGAAGTGATAAATTTTCCTGTCCGAAAACAAAGAAAATCCTTATTGCGGATTTGGAATTATCGAGGAACCCAAACCACGACAGGCTCCCACCCGGTTTTGGTCGGCATCCATATGAACGAATGTCCCCAGAACAAAGTCACGCAGTCACAGTTGGGGCAGTTACAACACAGTTGGTGACAGTTGGAGTCACAGAGTTGAGCTGTGAGCTCGGAGACCAGTATCGTAGGAGCTGATTGAAAGATTTCCACGCATTCCGACTTAGACTTCTAACCAAAAACAAATTTTTTTTTTTTGAAGAACAACTTAGACTCACACCACCAAAACAAGTTTTACGAATATCGCCTGAAGATACCAAAAACCAGTTTATTGAAAAACGACTATTTTAAGATAGATTTTAAGATATTAAGACTCGCCTAAGAAACGCAAAGTGTCATGTATCCATAGAAGCGGTTTGGGAGAAAGACGCAGTTAGAAATTTTTTATTTTATTTACAAAAAAGATATTTTTCACAAAAGACAGTAAACCCGTGGAAAAAGCCATATGTGAGGTTTTGTCAGGTTGATTAATGTCTTGCTGAGGAAGATAGCAAAATATTAAGATATTGGCCAGACCATGGCGGTCATAAAAATTTTGCCTTGAGATGATTGCCAATACAGGCAGGAAGAATCAATGTTAATTATCTTTTCAAGATATCGTTTATTTTTTTTTCTTGGCCACCGGTGAGGAAAAGCAATGTGGCAATTATAAAATTTTGGCATTGTCTCGACATAGGTAAGAGGATTGTTATTATTTACCTTATCAACGTGTCACTTCAGACGCTGAAACATTGAATAGCAATATGGCATTTGTAAAATTTTGGCATGAGACAGAAAATAGAGTGGAGAATCGAGATTTGGTGAGATAAAAGAATTTAATTTCTCAACAAGTCAAGGATTCCATTATAAAGCTAACTTCATGAAGGGACCAGATGGCAAACTTTGACAGTGATTGATGGAGCTGGTAGAGAGTGCTGGCTAAGTTAATTCTGGTTGGCCAAAAGATATGATAGAAATTTAATTGGCAATGTGGAATTCGTAAAAATTTTGGCCGATGGGAAAAAGGAGAATTTTGTAAACAAA